GTAAAGGCGAAGCGAACGCTGCCCATAGACATCCGCAATTGCAGATGCGTTTACCCTTAATCGACATGGAGAATATTTCCCCTTCATATGCGTCTCCTCCGCCGTCAAATCCACTTATGACATCCTTTCCTCTTAAGAAAAGGGTGGATTAGGAAAGGGACTAAAATAGACCTCCGGCACCACATTCATAAAACGAATCGCAAAATTACTTCCATTTCACGCCTATCTTCCGAGTGGTCATGGTATTCCACCGGAGAGCCCGCCCTACAGTCCGAAAACGTGCGGGCTCTACCACTGTTAACTAGGTGATGATAAGGGTGACTAATCCATAGTAAAGAGTTGTCTTCACATATGTCTTTGAATTATTTCGCCGATTAGTGCAGGTTAGAACGTCGGTCTCTCGAATCTCGTCATGTACCTATGTGAATTTCGATTTTTCATATGTACATAATTTACTCATGTTCTTACGCAATAAGGTAAGGATGGAAAAAAGTAGGTAACGGGGGAGGGGTTAGATAACAGTTGTAAACTGACTCTGGGTCTAGCCATGGTCTTGATGTGCTCGATCTCGTTGTCGCTTAGTACCCCATGGTACACAAATACGTCGGGCGCTATGTACACTTGTTCCGTCTTTATCGGAGCCAGCTTTAAAAATGGATGATTTTTCGTTAAATATGTACATTTAAGTCTGAAATTGAAATAATAATATGTAACAAAAATCTATGAGTCCATTTATTTTACTAAAGTCGTTAATTGTAATTCTGTTTGATAATCCATACATACTTTCTACTTATTTCACTCGGTATAACCATCTCTCCGCGGCAAAGTGCTTCGTACACTTTTTTCTCTTTCTGTAAAAATGTTTCTTCTTCTACAATCACCTAAACGAAGTAAAAAAGATGACCTTGAGCTATTAAGTTCAAAACGATATACCAAATACAATATATGTTGTTATATTTACTTCGGTTTTATTTTGAAGCCTCTCTTTCTTTTCTGCCACATTCTTAAGGTAATATGGAATATTGCTCAAAGCACGTTGGTGGTGGGGATCAATGCTAAAAAGTTTAGTGGTCCACTCTAATGCTGTTTGCCCATCATCTGAAAGGTAAATTATTATGAGAAATACTAGTAACTAAGTTTACTTTTAACTAATATTAAGAATAGTAAATTTAGATGGATGGATATAGATGAAATTTACAGATAGAGTTTAGAATAGCGCGAAAATCACTATTTTAATTTTAATTTTACATAGAGGAAATCATGTGAGACAACTAGTATACTTATAATATCAGAAAGGTATTGATGAATTAAATTATTGACAAATACCTAGGAGGTAATGCAAATAGCTTATGTATTCCAAAATATCGACTTCTGTGAAGTTGTAATCTTCATTTTCTTGCTTGTATTTAGCAAGCGATTCTTCCATCCATCGCAGAGAGTTCTTATAATCCTTGACGTTGTACAGTATGCGACCGAGCTCGTAGCAATCGCTGGCTGTGAGCGCTGCACTGGGAAATAAAACCATCATTGGTTAAATTAAAACTCTACTGCATTCAGGGAAGAAACACAATTCGAAGATACCTTACTCGTCAAAATCTGTTCAGTTGTTTAGTCTATATTATTAGACAACTTATTTAATTGATACTGTCGCTTTTAACTCAGAGCAATACTTCTCGTCAAGACTTAGGATGCGCGCCAAATCTATCCATACTTCTAGTGACATTGACAGCTGTCAGCTAGGGACGTGACGTTTATGCCGATAATCTAGAGTTGCGCCAATTCTCTAGCTCGGTACTAATTTTATTCCTAACAATATGCAGTCACAAACTGTCTTACATACACACACACATTTATATCTACATCTACTAATATTATAAAGACGAAAGATTTGTATTTTTGTATGTATTGAAATAAATCAAAAACTATTGGGCCGATTTCAAAAATTCTTCTACTATTCAAAATCCACGTTCTCAGTGAGTAACATAGGTTATATTTTTAATTTCACGCGGACGAGGTCGAGAGCAACAGCTAGTATTATATAAAACATATTCACAACTAAACCCCTTAGTCAGTATAGACATAGTAAATATGATACACAGTTCATTACATACAAGATAACATTATGAAAGCTTTATTAAATTTAACATAGAAACAAAATACAAATTTTATGTTAGTCACAGATTATATAAATCTATATTTTTAACTTACGAAACCGCTGGTTGTCTGACTCCACTGAAAATGATATCAAAACAAGTTTAAAAAATTAAACACTTTTAAATTGAATTAAACAAAAAATAAAAAAAAAATCATTACTCTTTCGTTTTTCATCTAACTAATTACCATGAAAAATCTTTCAACTTTTATAAGTGATCGCTAGCTTTTTAATTAGTGTAAATGTATATATAATTTTTTGTTTATTTATAAACATTTAAGTAATCCTACTTTGAATACCTATGTATGGTTCATAAGATTTACCTATAAACGATTCCATTCAATCTCCCCTGTGCGAGTTCCCCTATATCCAGTTTGTACGTGTTCTGCAGACGAGTCAACGCCTGCGCAGCGCCCGTCAGGTCCTCCTCGGTGGGGTACCTTACCTCCGCGCTGTTAGTTGTCACATTCCTAACGTAATCTGCAATTTGTTCATATCTTAATATCATAAATGAAGGTTAAACGTCACCTATCTTTTTGTCAGCAATTCCATTAGTTAAACATATATAGCTCCAGAAATAAACGCGGTATAAAGTTAAACGTAGGAATAAACTGTATAAGCAAATATTAGTACAAATTTTGCTTTTACAGGCGTAGAAATATATAATACGCAACTAGTGTTGTCAGAGGCTGGCTCGAAGATAACTAAGGTTTTGTTTAGTTGACAAAATTTCTCTTTTCCATAGTCGCAATTTTTAAGCAAAATATCCCACGATTAACACAATGTAATATAGGTGTGGTGTTATAAGTTTTTTATTATTTCAACATATTTCGTTGCATTGTAATACCAAAGTAAACAATTTTTTTCACGGCCACCACATGTATATAAATTTCTCCGCCACTTGTGACGCACAGCCTTATTGTAATAGTAACAGCTGTTTAGAAATGTAGTAACATACCCAATAACAATGGACTTCCTTTGAAAATTAATATTACTTTAAAAATCACACTTATTCAAGTATTAATAGAGATTAAGTATATGAATCATAATTCATTACATTATATTTGACTGAAAAATAATGAAAACCCACTTACGTAATTGGAATAATTTTGAAACACTTGTATTTGCATATGAATGTATCAATATTTAATTTTACAATATCCGTTTACTTCAAGAATACGTTTAATTTGTGTAATGAACGTTTATAACCTTTGTAATTTTAAAAGTTATTTGAGCTGATTCTGAACTTATGTATTCAACTACAAAAAAAAAGCAAGTGGTTATGGTTAGAGTGTAACATGGATGATTTGCAGCTTCGTCTTTGTCCTTAGTAATAAAAAAATAATATAATTCACTACTAGTACATACTCTTATAAAATAAAATATTACAAGCTTTACCTGTGCCAAGTTTTATTCTATTTTGTATAACATCCAAGTCTGTGGTTAGTCTCTTGATGAGAGTGAAGGCATTGATGGGATTTCCCAAGTAGTTGTCGACATCTGCCATAGCCAACTCATGTTCTCTTCTATATACATCTATTTGTCTGAAATAAACAACACCACAACATTGTAAAAACTTTTATTTCATTAGATACAATTTAACTAATATTATAAATGCGAAAATTTAGATGGATGGAAGCTTGCTAGAGTTCGTAGCCTAAACTGCTGAACAGACCTCGATGAAATTTGGCATATACAATGTAGATGTATGTATGTAGAGTCTAGAAGAACACATATGCTACTTACTTTCGTTTTATTTTTATTTCACGCGGACGAATTTGCGGGCGAAAGCTAGTAGTTTATAAATGCTTGACCCCGTTTAAAAGTGGACTTGAATCCATTTTAGAATATGGCACTTAACAACGATTTGTTTCTTGTTATTCCGCAGAAATAGAATTATTTACGCAGTTCAACTAGACTTACTTTTTTAAAACGCCTAATCTTTTCTCCTCTTTCGTAACGTAATCATCCAAGTCATCGATTATCGTTTTCTGTGTCGCCAATAACGGCTCAATATCGGATATGGCGGTGAAAAGTTCTGCGCGTGTCCATGCCCACCAGTCTAGGGCTAGAACGATGCAGATGTACAGAGTATGTTTGCGATCCATTTGTACACACTGAAACATAGAGCAAGCTAACAACAGACAAATCTATTTAATATTAATGTTAGTTTATAGTGCTTACACAAAATAATCGGAAAAAGTTACTATTACATTACGAAGAGGTTACCTTAAAAGTAAATAAGGACAATGCTACACTTGCATGTTACGATTAAACAATACTAAGGGCCTATCCCGCCATAATTATCAGATAACAATCCAACGTGTAAAAAATGTGATGGAAATATCGGATTTTGTTACCCTATCTGACAATGACGTCATTTTGTCTAAAATGCATGTACAATAACTTACAACAAAACTTCTTCATTTTAAATTCTTGTTTAATAAATAATGTTTAACTAAAAGTCACCCATGAGAAGAGACAAGCATTATTTTAAAGCATCCCTTTTTATTCCTAATAAGCTTTTATAAAACTTCCTTATATTCTGATATTAAACCACGATGGCATGTAAATTCCTCGATACGAAATTAAATTTAAATAAAAATGGAAAATCATAATCTCAGATCGTATTTACTCAGCAATTATAAAATAACTTAAGATTAATTTCTTAATCAAACTGTAAAATATTAAAAATTGGAAAATAAAGCATTAAAATAAAAAAAAATGAATGTGTAATGTAAATGCCTGTGTGTACTAAACAGCGCATTAAAAGATAAAAACGTGAATATCATGAAATAAATAATTATTACAATAATTATGTAATATTTTTATGTTCATATTTTATGTGTGTTTACCTTGCCTTTTGTTTGCAGCACGCTTGTCCGTGTCGCACCACACTCTACTGATAAATGTATAAAAAAGGCACTTTTAAACGCCTCGTTACATTTTTGTCACTATCTTACTTGTCATTTTACTAATTAACGTTTTTAACCTAATAATAATAATATATCAATGAATAATTCAAAATAAGGGAATTACAAAAATTAAAAAAAAAATCAAAGGAATGTTTAATTTATTCCGTTAATAGCATATTTTATATAGTATAGGTTTCCACTGCCGATTCGTAAAACACTGGGATGACAATATTAGGTACAAATGTATCGGAAGTAGAAACCCACAGTATTATAAATCTTAGCTTAAAACAAAATATAAAATCATTTAAAAATATTAACATAATCTTCAATATAAAAATCTTTGATCACAAAGCATTGTTTATAAATATAATTAACTATAGAAAATGAAATTTGCAAATAAAAAATCATATTCGAAAAATTGTAACCTAAAAATATTTTTTTAGTTTTTTAATTTAATAAATCATCCAAAATAATGTTAATAAATGCATGTAATGGCTTTATAATAGGAATTGAATTACTATCTTATAATAATGACTAATATTGTTCTATTATAAAAATAAGAGTTGAATAGAAAGTCCTTTATTCAGACTTATATAGTGAAATACGAAAAATAATTAAAAACCAATCGATCAAATACACAATTAAAAAATACAAGTGAATTAAATGCTGTAATATTAATTTGGAAGTACAGATTATCGAATTTTATTTATTTTTTTGTAATGGCAACACATTCGGCAAAGTAATTTTAGTTTTAACTTAATTTTAACACATTATTTGGCCTCTATAGCTTATTAATATATTGAGATTCACTTAACATTAGTAACTGGTGATTATTTTAGCAGTTGTATTTATTTTTTTCATTTAAACGGTAAAAAAAACATATTTTAGTTAATAAACTGTTGCAAAATGAAATCTATTGTAAACATAAAATTAGCGGAACGCCCACTATTAATTACAAATTTGAAAACATAATTTAAAATATTGAATTTGTACTACAGACATCTGCCGTACCGTTTTCTTAAAATGCTTAAAACTCTAGTGAATCCATAAAAAAGAAACACTTCGGATACTAGGAAGTGTCAAGAATAATATACGTGTAAATAATTTAACATAATCGGTCACAAATTATTGATTAAATAATTATGGTCCTTCGAGCAGGATGTAAGGAAAAACTGATTTAATTACCGTTACTTAAATTTGAGATACTAAACGCATTATTTAAACCTCAAAAGTCGTAATTTTTGTTAAATATATCTTATTGGTTACAAAATTTTAGCAAAAGACTTGCAATATCCCTCGTTTCGACACTTCTATAGTTTTCAGTCCATTCTTTAAACATTATTTAGGTACAACTTTTGAAGAAATCTAACGAGCGATATTTTGTCCTATCTGGAGGTTCGCGGGATAGGTCTGGGAATTTTGCGCATGACATCCTCCCGCTGGTATTCCAGGTTGCACGGCTTCAGCAGCTCCTGGCCTCCTTGGTGGATCCATTTATTCGAAACTAGAAAAAACAATGAAACATACTATATTTAGACAATAAATTGTATAGTATCTACAAGCGGTCATGGTTTAATTTTTAAAATATAGCTAAAACATATACTAAACGATTGTTTTTAACTTTCAAAAGCAGTTGGGCCATTTTTGCACTAAGCGAGTTTTATCATACTTAAAGAGTATTGTAATACTTGACGCGTATTATAATACTTGACGAGTGTTGTATCACTTGACGAGTCTCGTAATACTTGACGAGTATTATAATAGTTGTAATATAAGGAGTAACTGACCCCACTTGGAGCCGCGCAGCACTGGGCAGGCTGCGTGGCGCGTGGCGATGTCGCCCTCGCCCGACGGGTGCAGGTTCATCCAGAACACGGCCGCATTCTTCACCGGGAATACGCTCAGGCCCAGCTCCGTGAACACGGTGGCGCCCCCTTGTGCCACCTCCGACATCTGTCAATAGAGGAAAATACATTAAAATATTATTATATTATTAGACTATACTAATATAATAAAGATTTGTATTTTTGTATGTATTGGAATAACTTAAAAACTTCGTTAGTGCTCAGAAACGTAGGTTGTATTTTAAATTTCAAGAGGACGAAGTCGCGGGTAACAAGTATCATTGACAATCTTACTAATATAAATAGGAAAGTTTAGATGGATGACTGTTAGAAATTGTCACCAGTACGGCTCAATGGATCTTAATGAACTGGCGTAAATGTAGAACATAGTCTGGCAGAATACACAGGCTATCTGCTCTATTGTTTCACACTAAACAAAAAATGATTCCTCTTGATAAAAAAAAACATGTGAAAAGCAAAATAGAGCCTTGGTTCAATAGTATACGGCTCAATTTTATTTAAACTATTTTTTGCATGTAGACTGTGTACATGTTGACGCTAATACTTACGTAAAACAAAACTGTAGCTATTCTGTTCCCGCTAGACTTTTTGAAGGCATTCTCCTCTTTCTGGAATCAAAATTGATTATTCTTTAATGTAGTTTAATAAGAAAGAGTAACACTATCATTAAGAAATTGCTTCTTTTAACTATAATCAACAATTGGCTATCAGTTTTGAGTTAGATTTCTTTTAAATATAGGCATTTAGCAAGAACGTCAGTGGCGCAGTTCCTAAGTGATTGATGGATTGGAATCTATCTCCTATCTATACGGGGATTCGACCCCTGTCGTGTAGTATTTTTCGATTTCGGAATTTCTTATGGCACATATTTTATTCGTACAAATACAATTAAA